GGTCCTTTCTCTGAGAACATCGACTTTAATGTACGGATGGATTGAGTCTTGACTCCGCTTCAGTGTTGTACATCTTTTGTGTTCATGTCTTTGTGGTCAGGCTACAGCCCAATGTTGACACGAGACAGAAGCAGCTGGCGGCGTGGTGCTCCCTGGCTCTGTCCTACTGCCGCCATCACAAGCTCTACACCCTGGACGTCATGGAGGCTCAGGAAAGCCCCGTGTTCAACAACAAGAAGATAGAACGTATCCTAACAGTCCACCTGAGACCAGCATTTTAACCTAAAAAACAAAACACAACAACCTGTTTGATTCGACAGTCAGAGGTTCTTAGGCCGCCTCGTTATTTGGAGTATTGAATGACACTTGACCCCTCGCTAGCTGCCCTCCATACCGCTGCAGTAACTAGTGTTGACTTACATTTGAACGGTTTAAACTACAATTTCATCTTTGTCGTCCCCACAGAGAATTTAGTTTGTGCAGCTAGGTTGACATTTAAAAACACTGAGCGAGACTTGGACACAGACTTTTGATGCAGGAGACACGTTAATGGACAATAGAGAGTGTGTGTGTGGAATGTAGCAGAATGCAAGCAAGCCTGTGACCCACAATCCTCTGCAAAGCATGAGATAAGTGACGTGAAAGAACAAGGGATGAAGATGAAGTCATGCTATTAATAAGTAGATTCATTCGACTCTGAATCTAATTAGATCAATTATAAAACGTTTTGTGAGATTTAGACCGTGTTAGAAGTAGTAAGGCTTCCACTATCAATTTTTTGACCAGTCAGATCCTGTTTTGCACAATCACTAAATGGCTCTCCTTAAGTTATCAGCTTTGAAATGTAACATAAAGCACAAGACGGATGATTTAGTTATATGGCTAGCGTGGTTACTATAGCAATATGGGAAGAGCGGAGTAGTTTAACAGGAAGTGTGCAATGGGGAAGACTTTTAAAGGGAGGGACTGAAGCGTGGCTTTAAGTTTGGACTTTCACAGTGAACTCCACAGTTACGTTTTCTTTAAAGAGATAAGTTCAGCGGGCCTTGTGCAGCCACGATGAGCAAGGCCCACTTTAGAAAATCTTGCAGGCAATCTTTTTTTTTTTTTTGCAGCAGCAGCAGCAGCAGCGTTGATATCCCCCGTTGACATCAGACGTTTTAGAATTTGATGGTGTTACTTTGGTCGCCTCTGTTTGGCTAAGGTTTGTTTACTTGACGCTTCCGGTTTGCTGCTTGCGTGCACAAACTCTCAGCAGAGATGGGAAGGAAGCGAGATGGATCACTCCTCGGCAGATGAGCTCGGAGAAGATGTCACATTTTTAACATTTGAAAAAAATGCGCTTTGACACGATCAACTTGATATGGACTTTTAAATTGTTGCCAACTAATTATTATTTTTATTTGTTTTAACTATTTAGTGACAGGACAGTGGATAGAGGCGGAAATCAGGGAGAGAGAGAGAGCAGGGAATGACATGCGTGAAAGGAGCCACAGGTCGGTTGAATGAATGTCACCCTGGTAGTTATGAGAGAGCAACACTAGAGTATTTTCAGATCCTTTTTTTTTTTTTTTACATTTGCATTCTGAGGGAAAGTTAAGACACTTTCATTTTCAAACTTGCAACAACTCGTCGATTGTTTTCATGTACGTTTTGTTCCCTTCTCGGTTTGCCCTTAACTGATGTGCAGGAAAATTGTCCATGGAAGCAATTCAAGTTGTTTTTGAGGAGCTAAGGAAAAAAGGTATATTTCTTTCCTTTCAACATGTTTGTTCAGTGTTGGGATGTGAAAATGCTCCTCTCAGCATCTCACTGTGAACTCACGTGGCACAGTAATACATGTTTATCATTATTGTTTCCCCCTGACTTCAGGCAACCTTGAATGGTTGGACAAAAACAAGTCTCGGTGTTTAGTCATGTGGAGGCGACCGGAGGAGTGGGGAAAGTTAATATACCAGTGGGTGAGTCATCCAGTCTTCAGAAACATTCTGTGCTTTTCTGCCCGAGTTGTGCGTCTGTACATCTGTGGGGCTGACTGAGGAGAAATGGAAAGAAGAAGGTGTTCTGTGAAGCATCAAGCATACAGTAAGGGCTAAATATGGAGCTGTGTCACTTGATGCTGTTCAGTTTGAAAACATCATTGTTGTTATCTTATCAAAGATCATTTCAGCATCAGACCAACTAAGTCTGCACAAACCAGTCGTAAGATCAAACATGAACTGTTATTATTGTTTCAACTTTTAAAAACAGTGAAAATTCAAATAAATGAATCACACTGAAGACATGATGAGAGCTGCTGTTGGTTAAAGAGGATTTCAGCTCCTCTGATCGCACAAACTTTAAAAAAGGAATAAAATCACCACAGAGGCTGCAGCACACACACACACACACACACACACACACACACACACACACACACACACACACACACACACACACACACACACACACACACACATACACACACGCAGACACACGCAGACACACACACACATACACACACAGACACACAGACACACACACACACAGACACACACACACAGACACACACACACACAGACACACACTCACACACTCATGTTATTTAATGGATGTCTTGTTAAAACACACATCACACTTATGACGACTGCAGATATGAGATGATGTTCTTCATCAAGAGTTTTTCATGTGATGTTTTTAAACTGTCCGCTCCTCGTGTCCGCTCCTCGTGTCCGCTCCTCGTGTCCGCTCCGAGCTCGGGGTTAAAGAAACCGTCTCCTCAAAGTGTTTCTGTGATTTCTGTCGTTACCTGTTGTTGTGTTGAGAGTGAGCGTTCCCTCCGCTTTCTGCTCAGGTTTCCAAAAACGGGATGGTCAACTCTGTGTTTACACTTTACGAGCTGTCCAACGGTGATGACACGGAAGGTGAAGGTATGTTATCAGCAGATTGTAAAGATGACTCAGCACTTTTTTTAAAAGCCTTTTGATTGACATGATTAAATTAAATCACTGACAGTAAGCATGTGGCATGTTCCCAGTTTGAATCAGTTTAAATTGTTGTTTATTTGTATTTCATGTTTTTCCCACTTTTAAATTGTCACATTTTGAAATGCTCCCGTCTTAAGTTTCCCACCTTGTAACTCTGTCTTGAAAGGTGTTTTACAAACGGTGTAAATCACTCTTTTGTTTGTGCAGAGTTTCACGGTTTAGAAGAGTGGATGCTGCTGCGCTCGCTGCAGGCTTTACAAACAGAAGGCAAAGGAGAGATCATCACCATGGACGACGGAAAGGGCGTCAAATTCTTCTGAAGAAACGGTGCTGGAACCACGCACACACTCTTGTCTGGGAGCCGTCATACTGTACCTGAACAAGGGGGGGGGGGGGGGATTATTAAGATTTAGCCTCTTAAGGCGACACAAGGTGAACCTGGATACCCAGCCCAGAGGATGCTGGTCCTGCTGTTGTTGTTGCCTTTTGGTTTGCCTGAGTTCAAAACCTTTTTAATTGGAAAAGAAGGTTTATCATTTGTGTGTTTAGGTGGGGGGGAAAAAAAAGCATTTTATGTGGCAGCGTGTTCAAAGCTGTCGCTCTTTGAGGTAACATTTGTTGCCATTAAAACATGCAATGAGTCTTATCAGGGGAGTGATCATTATCATGTCTGATTCTTTTAGGGGAAACCTCTCCCCAGCAGCTGTAACTCTCTCTTTTCTCGACTGTAAATACGACTTCTTTTTTTCTCCTTTTAACATGTTCCCTCAGTATGATTAGCTCTGGACCTTAAGCGTGGCTGACGCTCCTCTGCTCCAAACAAAAACATCCCAAAGAAATGCCAGAATGCAACACCAGGGGGACTTTTTTTTAAAAATGTTTTTAGAATAAATGCTTCCAGAGGAGGAACACTGCAGGGAGTTGGACCACCAATCCTCAACTCAGCTGAGTTTAATAATAGTGGAATTCATTTACAGATTGCTGTCATCTTTAATTATTGTGCAGTAGCTACTGTGACACTCCAGTTTTCCTCCTTTTCTCTCTCTCTTTGTGTATATCCTACCTTCTTTTTTTTCATATCCTGTTAGAAAATAAATTAGAAATTTGCTACACTTGCTTGTTTTTGTTTTTCTTAAATATCAGAAAAGTCTTTTAATTGTGTCTGATGTGTGATAATGTAGCTCTCCTGCAGGCTGCAGACGTGCAGGGTGGCACTGCAGCGATGGGACATGTTTTTATGCTCTACTCTCTGCCTGCAGCTGTACTGAATGACTGTGTGCACTAGAAGGTCCGCTCACATCATGTGCTCAGTGTGTTCCCTTCATATGTGGGGATGATGCAGCTCCAGGGAATCCTGCGTGTGTTTCCTGATAACACTTGGGAGTGTGTAGGATGTGAAGACAGGTGGGGCCCAGCAGTGTGGCCTTGGCTGATAAAGGCGTCATGTTTCAGCAGCAGGAGCAGGGACTCCTCTCTCTTGTGTGGCTCCCCCTGCAGGTTAGTCCTGCACACTGCAGAACCCCCCCACCCCCACCCCCACTCTCTGTTTGCGCGCATATCTTTTATTTCAGAATGATCGTATGACGACAGACAGAGAGCAACCTGACTCATCAGATCTATCGTTATTCACAGAAACCAGAGAGTTCAGAGCTCAGGAGAAAGATTGTGTCCGACATTTGAATAGAAAGTACGACAAAAGAAAAATTGCCATTATTTCATATTGTATGCAATTTTGCTTTTAATGTACCTTTTAAAGATATTCAATTGAGCTTTTTGGATATCATTTACGCAAAACATATATAAGCAATAAAAAGGAGATATTCTCTATTTAAATCTTGGAGGGGTTCGAAGAGTTTTAAGTTTCCCAAGACTCCTTAAGAAAACCCTGTAGTTACTCCTTGTGGAGACTCACATTAGCGCGTCAAAGCTGCAAGGGGCGGAGTCAGGAGCGCGCACTGGACTGGAGCGCACCCGGGACGCACATCCCTCCGGAGCTCTGTTCATATAGGGCAGTCCTGTCCTTTTCCAGGGCAGGTTATGGCTGAGGACTTTGTGAAGAGAAGAGGAGAAAAGACGACAACTCGGATTATTTGATTGGAATTATGCGTTTTTGGTGCGTTTGATTGCGCACTGCGTTTATGAACTGTGCTTTTTACGCAGCAGCTGTGATGAGTAAGTTGAATTTTCTTCCTTTTTTTTTTTTAATATACTTTTAAGATGTTTCTAAGGTTCAACATAGCTGTAGGTGTTCTCATGTTCGATTCTATAAAGATGCATGCTTCTTTTCTATCTTATTACGCATGTAACAAACCTCTTTTTTTTGTGGTTTAGTCTTTATGTAAAGCCTCTGACTTACTTGACATCATGGAAAAGTAACTTGGAAGTTAAAGTAACGGTACTGTATTGGTTCTCTATTATACCTCTAGGCTCCTAATCGAGAAGGCTTTCAAACTGCCAAGATGTCTCACGCACAGGTTGAGATACCAGGACGCGGTTTCCCTGGCCTCCCTATGAATATGACCGAAGACTGTTTATCCCGGGTCCCATCCGTGTTAAGGACGCACGGTTTGGGTGCGCGGAGGAACTCTTACGGGCTGCAGAAAATAAGCATGGACCTCGACTCGCCCCTGTACAGCGGCGCCCTCTCCAAAGCCTTGTCCTGGTCTGCTGAGAATATTTTATCTTTGCATGAGTCCAGAGCAGAGGATGAGAAAACCGACGACTCTCCAGCGTCGCCGTCTCCTGTTTCCAGCCCGGGCACCAGCTCCAACACGCCCCCCTGCAGCCAGGAGCCAGACGCCGTCTCCCTCGGTGGGAACTGGGACCCCGTGGAGAGATCCAGCGCTCAGGACGTCAGCTCGGAGTCTGAAAATGAACTTCAGAACAAGCAGAACAAAATCGTGTCTCGCATCACGTTTGATGCCCAGTGGGAGCAGGAGGAGAAGGAGGACGTGGAGACCAAAGCGGTGGCGACGTCTCCTGATGGAAGATACCTGAAATTCAACATAGAGATTGGACGGGGGTCTTTCAAGACGGTCTATAAAGGACTGGACACAGAGACGACAGTGGAGGTGGCATGGTGTGAGCTACAGGTAGGATATCTTCTTTTGTATTTGACTGCAGATCAAACCTCATTTTGAAGATGGAAAAGCCTGCAGGCAAGAGCTGAAACCCGTTCTTCTTAAAGCTCTTGTAAGGAACTTTTAACTGGTTATGAAACAGATTTAAATTAAAGTGATGCCTCTATTTGACTCACCAAGGCAAACAAGACAATTAGTGAAAGTTTGACTATTTCTATATCATCATTTGTAATGGCTGTAACCACTGCTGGGGGGTAGGTGTCAAACGAGACGGTTTGTAGCACACTTAAAGATACATCACTCATTTTTATTACATTTTCACAGTGAGGGATCAATTCAATTGTTAAAATAATGCAGGATGAGCTTTTTTTTTCATCAGTGCAGAGATAACCGCTTTTCCCACAGGGGGTGCGAGAAATGACAAACCAAAAGTTCATCACAGGAGCTTTAATGTGAAATATTCAAAGCTCCTGTGAGGAGCTTGTCACTCAAAAGCAAACGAGATCATCTGCATAAAGATTTATAATTTCTAAAAAAGTGATTGTTAATGCCTAAAAACCACTGCCATGGGGAGTCAGACAAGATGAAAGTGTTTCTGCAGCAACAGCCTATTCTTCATTTTCTTAATGAGTAATACATTTGACTTGTTAAAGAAAGCACACACAGCATTTCTGTTTAAAAACGCATACACGTCAAAATCAGCAAAGAGATCAAATGCATCACTTTGTCCACAGGGGGCGCCAGATTCAACACAAACAAAAAGTTCTCAATAGGAGCTTTAATTGTAATCAGTATTTAGAGAGCCAGAAGAGGGAAACTTCTTTAGAATTGTCCTTTGGTGTAAAGAAAATATGAGATTTTATGTACAACACTGCACCAAAGTTGTGCTAGTTTTTGCAGCCAAAGTTTGCACTGGACGTTCTTTGGTTTATCTCCCTTTCTTTTCCCATGCAACGTAACCTTGGTGGTGTTTATGGACTGATGTGTCTCTCTCCTGCCCCTCTCAGCTCTACTTTATCTGCCTATATTTCCCCAGTGTAACAAACCTTTGTTATGATCATGGACTGAAATGTTCACTGCTCTCCTGCCCCCCCCCCAAAAAAAACTCAGCTCGTGTCCCCCTCTCTCTGAGGCTTGTTGAGTGGATGTGGATGTGCAGCGGCTAATCTCTCGATTATTATTCCTTGTTGACCTTGAGTCAGGCCGTGTCAGGGCCGGTTCTTGGTAACACAGGTCATTCCTGTCAGCAGTCAGCTCCAACTGAACCACTCGGCCTGCCTTCCTGCCGTGATCCCCTCTAATCTCTGTTTTCATTAACAACCAGTGACACCGAGGCGAGCTCTCTGGACGCCTCACGTGCACGAACGGACAGGCGACAGGTTATTTATATTCAGCTCTGATGAACAATGTTCAGCATTCATGCTTGATTAAAGTCCACTGTAGGCTTTGAAATCTTTCCATCCTGCAGAACAGGACAAGAGACGATGTGTGACTCTGGGTTTCAAGCTCACATGCTGCACAGTTTCTCTCTCTCTCTCTCTCTCTCTCTCTCTCTCTGAACAGTCATGTGGAGGTGTCAGCCCTTTTTGTTTGCTACGATATTGGACCATGTAGACAGCAAACAGCCTGGGTAGCATCTGCCACCTTTTCTGCTTTAAAAGTTTGATAGCAGGGTGGAGGATTTAAAGGTTTAAGCTGTGACTCCACCCACAACATTTTTGCTGTATCTGTGACGTGCTTGGGTGCGAGCGTCTGGAAGCGTCTGAGCCTTCTTAGGTGTTAAGTTGTGCCCTCCTACCCTCTAAACCTAGATGTTTAAATCTGTGCCACAGACATTGGACGCAAGAAACCATCACCACTCCATTGTAAAGATACTGGAAGTTGTTTTAAGATGTTGCTGCTCATGAAAACGCCTTCTCTTTTGGCTTAATAAACAGTGCACAGAGGCTGTCTTTGTCATGCATTTAAGCTCTCCAGGAGGCACCGGCACACAGACAGTCAGGGATCACACAGGGTGAAGTGAGGCTGCCCTCGAGGCTCGAGCTCCAGCAGCAGAAGCAGGTTGGGACTTCTACCTCAAGAGGCCACCTGTCAGTTCAACAAAAACAGGTGTCTGTTCTGAGGAGGGAGAAACAGAGACACTCTCAGGCTCTTAGCAGCACAGATGCCCCCCCCCCCCTTCTACCTGCTCTCAGGTGGATGTTTAACACCCTCCAATCAAACACTAGCAATCAGTTTGTGGTCTGACTTTTTTAAAGCTACCTCTGCTTTTTAACTTTTGTCGCTGTGAAAAGCGGTGTGGCTCTCTGCCAAGGAAGGACGTATTGGAAACAGGCGTGCTTTTTCATCTCTCCGCTCGAGACATGGGTCCAGTTAAGCTCCTTTAATCGCCGCTAATGAGCTTAAAGGTGGCCGTTGTTGATATGGTTACTGTTGTGATAAGTTAACCTCAAAGTCTCAGCTGCGGTCGCGTTTTTCATGAACTGAAATCACCGCCCAGTCTTCCCTGCCCCCCCCCTGATCGCTCAACCGGACACACAAAAGCTGTCTGTTGGTGGTTAAACACACTCTCCTCTGTAATGTTGACAGAGCAGCAGCAGAAGGTGCGTCATGACGAGCCAGGTAGAACTGCCTTAAGCTCTTTTAACTATGTAGTACACGGCCTGAGCTGTAATCTGCAGGCGGTGAGGTTCATCTGTGCAGATTGCAAAGACATCTGCTTCACCTGATTCACACCTATCAAGACAGTTCAAGTCATTTGTCATCTTCTTTGTCTGAGGTGTTTTTCCTGACTGAACACAGGTCTGTCTGGGCGGTGTCCACCGGAAAGCTTTGTGCTAGCACACAAAAAGTAAACAATACATTTAGATTCTTCCATGACATGTTACACCAAAAGCTCAGCCAGGACAGTTTATAATAATAAGACAGGGTTCAAGCCACTGCTCATAAACACTCGCTAATAATAAGACAATAATACAACAGAGCGTGAACACTCAATGGAAAAAGAGCTCCCTGAAGCTTAAATTAATGATGTCTGCACCCAACAAAGGGCGAGAGAGAGAGAGAGATACTGTAAACAAAACGCACCAAAGACACCTGAAGAAGAAAACTCTCGGGTATAAACACTGCTTCCCTACTTTAAATACACTTTCAATACACTGGGCCGGGCACTTTTCTACTATATAAGTATTGTATGCACACATTCATTTATTGTCCACTGTTATAGAACAATTAAAGCCGTTGCATTAGGCAGCATGGCCGATATCATAAGCTGACGTTAGCTTTTCATACATGCATTAGCAGCAGTATGCGGGCTGATTTGGTAAATTGAGTTCATTTCCGATTAAAGCTTCTGTGATGTGTTTCAACTGGTTATGGAACAGACTGATATTTATTCCTGATGCCTCT